CCATATGAAAAGCCTGTAAAGTGTTAAGCAGAAAGTCAAAGTTACCTGTTGATTTTGGTACGCTGTGACAGTAGTGAAAACTGTCTCTGGAAAGGAGAAGGCTTTCACCCCTTCTCCTGAAGGGACAGGCTTGACGGGTGACAGATCGTCTCCACAGTCTTTTCGGATGACGTGGACACGAGGCTGATATTTATGCATAGAGTGTAGGATAATCTATGTGGTCATTAAAGAAAAAAGATAACATTTATTAGAAAGGACACCCTGCTGTTTCAGGACTAATAGCTTTTTGGAACAGGTTATGGTATGTGTTTACCATGCCACTTACTGGAAATCAGATGTTTTCTTTAACCTCTGAAGGTTCTTATTACAGTAGTCTAATCCCTGTGCATTCATGTTATTGCCAACTCTAAGCATTTAAAAATTACGACTCAAGAGGTCCAAATTCAGAGACTGGCTCAATTGAGACTGGTTCAAAAGGAAAAAAAAAATAAAATCAGGAGTGAAGTCCTGATCCCACTGGAATTAGTAAAATTTTGTCACTGTTTTCCACTGGAGCCTGGATTTGATTTAACAGGATTAACAGCAGCAACATTTGCTTTATGTTTTTGGAACCTTCAGGATGTGCTTGAAGCATTTCTTTTTTTCTTGATATACCAAAGAGATATCCTGGAAATGTCTCCTGTTTTGAACACAAGCTGAGACTCTCACACTCTGAAGACACAGAAACTTGGAGCGAAATAATACTTAAATCCAAAACTCTAAAGTGTTAATAACCCTAGATTTATAATACAGACAATGAGTATCAATACACAAACTCTTTTGGGCATATATAAACTCAGTTAAGAATAAACTATAAATGAGAAGCATATGAACTCACAGTGTATAAAATTATACACAAAAATACCTCTTAGTGTTGCTCTGAAATTTTAGATAAGATTTAAAATAACAGAACATTTCTTCTGTTTTACTCCAGCTAACCACAACTAAAATAGAAGACTTCAAGGAAAAATAATAATTGGAAGCTCAACTATTATTGTTGGAAGGCCTGAGAAATTAGTAACCTGATAAATAAATAGTTTATGGCTACTGGCCTGTGGAACCACTAATCAACATTCAGGAGAAGCTTTTTAATTTCCTGCTCCTTGAGTAGCCTCAGAATGTGCATATACTCAGGCACTCGACAGAGCCCCTATGCCAGACACTGTGGAAGTTCATTCATCCAAATGACATAGAGGACATTACATTCATTTGAATAAACTAGAGTTTGGCTAGTTTAATACAGCTGGTCCTGGTCAGGTGACATGACCCCAGTATGGGTAAGCCAAGTTCCTGTATAATCACAGGGTTTATTAGCCTGTAAGTAAGGTTTTGACAATGACATCACAGGCTCCAATTAATTTGCTCAGGGAGTGCCCTACGGATGTTCTCATACGAAGCCTTTTCCCAGTTTCCCAGTTTCTGAAATCTTGCACAGAGCAAGATTTTTATCATGCAAATGTGTATTCCCTTTTACAACACTCCTTTCAGTTCTCTGCTGGCAAAGATCTACAAAATGAAAACACAGAGAGGACAGCACATTCCTGACACTGTTTTCCTGTGAACACCCAGTGATACCAGGGGTATACTGGTACAACAGGAGGAAAAGTGATCAAGGAAAATTCTGTTCCACTGTTCAAACTCACCTCTGTTCTGTGACTTTCCATTTGCCTGGCTGCTACTGAGTGTGCCATGTTCTGCTCCCGGACGGATTATGTCACCCCATCAGCTTTGTGGTGCAAACTACCACTTGCCTACACAGCAGACTTAACTGTACACAGTGATAACCCAAGCAGCTATAAACAACTCTGCTCATGTATCAGAACAAGTGAAGTCACAGCAGCACAGACATGAACGCCTCCCAGTCCTTATCTGGGTGGCTATTACAGCTAAACTGATCCTTTTCATCTCCTAAGAGCAACCTGGTTTAGCTCTGTGCTACACTGAAATTTCCTGCACTGACACACCACTAGATGATTAGCAGATCCATAGCAAGAGCTTTTGCTTCTTGATGTTGTACCACGTCTTGTACAATAATACCTTTGTTAACTATCGGGACTCTGAATTCTAAATAGAGCCCTAGTGAATTAAAGAGCAATACTATGAAGATAGGACATAAAACAAGAGGGAGATGCAACACCCTCTCCCAAAACTGTTTCGTTCTATTACTCTAAGCATCACCTAAAGCTATGTGAAGAAAAAGCTAAGGAGATCATGGCTTTTCATTCTGTAGTGCTTGCCCATTTCACAGCACAAATGGGATTAACAGTTTATTTGCAGAAGCAGCGATTTTCCCCTTTTACCCTTAGAAGCAAACAAAAGAAAACCCCCAACAAGTCCCACCAAACACTAACTGGAATTAGCTTCAACTCACAGTTGAAAAGCCTGCCTCTCTCTACAAATCCCTAACAGGAAAAGACCAAAACATTTGTTGGGGAATAAACCTCTCCTGCCAAAGGTAAAATTACACTTTGACCACAGCATCATTACTCAATGGAAGGCACAAGTAGGCAGCAGAGCAAGGCAACAGCCTGGCAGAGCAAAGGCAGCCAAAATACCTGCAGACACACAAAGGTGAGATCACTTTCAATACACAGCTTTTCAGAGATGCTGCTGTGATGAAACCTCAGAGCTCACCCTGAGCTTGGGCACTGCTGCAGCACTACCATCACAGCCAGAACAAGCAAAAGCCCAGTACTCTTTCATGGGGGAGATGCCAATCCCACAGCAGCTCACGGACCACCCAGTTACCTCCCCACCACCAGTCTGATCTTCACCTCAATGCTGGTTTTGCCCAAAATCCTTCTTTACTCTCCCTGCAAAGCCCATGCATTCCTGCTTTCTGCAGTTAGGGGAGTGTGTAGGGCTAAGAAGCACAGATTCCCTCTTCATAAAAGACAAAAACTGCAAGTGCAAATGCTGATGTTTCCCAGCTTTTCATTGTGACAAAAACATAACTACCCATTGACTGTAAGCAAAGCTTGCTACTTGGAGCCAAGTCTGGGCAGAGTAACAGTCCGCCTCTTCTTCCAGCCTCACCCCACTTTCAAATGGGAAAAAAAAAAAAACAACCCATACCCAACCACCGAGGAACAATTAACAGGCTAACAGCCTCATTTTCACTAAAAGTTAAAAGATGTTCTATTGCATCAAAAAATACTCAGTTGGAAAGCATGGAAAAGAGCACCAAAAATATTGATTTTTCCTCTCTGCTGAAATTCAGATTAAAAACTGCATTGAAACAGAAGAATCAGCCAGCTCTAACCAGTCGGAGGGAAAGACAGCTTTTATAATGCAGCACTTACGCCACAGATGAGAGGGGAATGAGAGGCATTCACAAAAAGTGACCACACGATTCACTACTCAGTGTCAACTGCAAAATGCAGGTTTACTTTTCCTCACCATCACAACTCAGATGAAAGACACAAATGCTACAGTATGTCTTAATGCCTTCATAAGCACACAATCTTTCCAAAGCAGTGAATTCACCCTGAGACTCCTTTTTGAGATCAAACGCACACAAGGAAAACATATCCTTACAAAATTTGCTTGATCTCCTCAGCCTGCAAGTGGAACCCATGTATCAGAGAGTGTCCTACGTGCAGATGTACTTCAAAATCTCTCTGCAGAACAGCTCTCTAAAATTACATCGTCACAAACTCCCACTCAAAATACTGATGAAAATAGCAGCAGGCAGCAAGGAGCCCAGAAAACATTCAAGCAGCGAAAAAAGTCGTCTTGGAGATGACTGATCTCCTTTCACCAGAAGCTAATCCCAGGGCAATGCAACGCAAGGGGAGCTGGCTTCCATGAACTACTATCACAGTATAAACACTGCACAGAAATACTACCTTAATGTCTATTTACAAATACTGTCCCCATTCCCATGAACATGGGTCACTTCTCTCACCAATTCTGAAAGTTAGTACTCAGGAACAGAATCATAGAATAGGTAAAAGGGCTCTCGTGGAGCTCTCTGTGAGCTCCTTACCTCAGTGCTTGCAAGATCAAAACCTAGCCCTAGGATTTTAACACAAAAATTCTGCAAAACCTATCACATCTGAGGAGCACAGGAAGAATACAGGAACAATTTCAATACGGATTAAAGCCCCAGAACCAGACAGCACAGAAAGCACACCCCAAGAACAACAGCTAAAGCCCTACTGGAGGAGTGATGGCAAAGTGCAGAGACCCCACTGAGGTTTCTCTGAGCCGCTCTGCCTAAGCGGAAGAAGATGACAAAACCAACTTCCTAATAACCTAAAATACACTCCATCACCCATACAGGGTGGGAGAGTCAGAATACTTGATGCAAAAGCTAATATTCAAGGTACAGCCTTGACCCCTTGCTCTTCTAATCCCTCATCCCTTCCCTGATACCCTCTCGACAAAAATGATTCCTTCCTGCTTATGAGAAACAATTGCATTTTTTTATATTCATCGCAAAATATGATTATTCATTTTCCATTATTGCTAGAGGCATTCAGAGGCTACATAGCTCTTTCAATACAGCATTCCACACTACCATAGCTTTAAAAGAAAAAATGTACCCATTGGAAGAGACACTTTTCTGCTTTCTGCTTTTGCCTTTTCTGGTAATTTTGAATGACATGTTTGCAATTTCCAAGATCTGAGAAATATGAAATTATTTTACAGTCCTCCTTCTTTTGTCCTTTTATTTTAATACTTAAAATTTCCATTCTGGGGAAGAGGGGCACTGCTGTAGCTCTGAATCAGTTCAATGTGTCTCAAATCACTGGACTAGGGCTTAGCATCACTAGTTTCCAAATAGAAACACTTAACTAAAGACCAGAAAATTTATATCCCCCCACATCATAAATAATGGTGTGCTGTGTACACTACACAGGTTTCAGTTCAGAATGAAAACAAAGCTAAGATCTGGGATGGAAAAAAACACAGTAATACCATTCTCTACATAGCTGAGATTTTATCACAGAGCAGTTTGGGACTGCAAGTGCATGGGTGGACCGCGGTAGCCACATATCGTCCCTCTGCAATGAATACAAAAACCAGCTGGCCTGGTCTATGTTGGAAAAGTGACATTTTACCCATTTGCATCTGCTTCACTTTTTAAAGCCCTTACAATAGACTCAGGACTCGGAGAAAGCAACTCCCACCCAAGAAGAGTCACAAATAAATGAATTCTGGAGAAACTAAAGAGAACTACGTGTGCTAACCTTAAGCTGAACAGATGCTGCCAAGTAAGACTCCGTAACTGTAATTCTGGAAAGAAATAGTATAAAATGTCTTTCTTACAAGCCTAAAAAAAAGCAAACTTAAGGTATGTGAATACCCCCACATGGTTTTTTTTAAGGAAGAGCACAATAAAACTGTGAACAGTATTACACAAAAGAGAGACTCCTTATCCCCATTATCTCATTCACTAGCTCAGTACAGCCAGTCTCCTCTGTTCCTGCTGCTGCAACTTAAAAGTTGTAGCTCCTGCACAATTTGACCGGAGTTTCATGTTAATATCCCTTGCAAACAGAAAAGGAGGGGGGAAAAAAATATCTCAAACTTGGACTACATATGGACAAAATACATGGCTTAATGTCACAGAGTTACAACTACACTGAAAAATGGATGTTGTATCTCTGTACTCTGTGCCAGGTACGTTTTCTTTCACTCCCTTCCACAAAGGGGAAAGTATCCTGGTTAAATGGGGCTATGCTAAGGACAATGGAATCCACATCCTGTCTCAAAACTTGCCTCCAACATCTTAAAACTCTACCACTTGGAATTTGTTTCTCCTTCTGAAAGGAGGCAAACGTTTGCCCTTTCTTACAGGATTTTGCAAAATTAAAGACTTCAGTCTGACTAAAAACAATTCTCATTTTTTAATTATTTCCTAAGGTGTTGAGTAAAACTATTCTGGCGATTGCTGGAAAGATACTGGCTTAACATCTGTCATGTTTCAACAGTTTTGAACAGAAAAGGAAATATTAACATAACACATTTTGTCACATTAGATAATGTCATAACTAAACAATTTAGAACTTGCAAACAGAACACTCATACTGCATACATCTTCGCCAGTTTTTTCCAAAGTAATGAGCCTCAGCTGTGAGAGGGTCTTGCTTCATAAGGTATGTAATAAATCATTATCAGAGCGAACCCAGCTCCCATGTTGTTCGTTTTTGACTGCAATTATTAACACCTCATGGGATTTCACACAAATGTTTAGGTTAAGAAAATAGTTAAGTGTATTTTTATTCACGTGAAGTTATTACATACTATTAATGTTTCTTCTAGCCACTTGTGAATTTAAGCGTCCTTTTTGATCGAAGCAGAAGTTGCAAGTAACACGCTCGGTGGGAAAACATGAGAGCAATTCTGCCCCTTCCTATTAGGCAATTTACCCTTGTAAACTCTTACTTTGCAGAAAGAGTTCTGTTTCTGAGGGGGGAGTAAAACAGCAGGCTCTAATAAGCAGTTAATTATCAGAGAAGAAAGTAAGCAGATTTTAGATCTGGATGGTAAAGTTCCAAAACAGCTTTGAAAAAGTCAAGCTTATTTCTGGCACCCTGTAGCTGTATTTCAGAGTTAGGGCTGAGCAACACGCCTACATATAATACTGCAGAAGAGAAAGTACTCACATGCCCTTGATCATCCAGCTCGTTATTGGTAAGCTTCAGTTTGTCAAAGCTGATCACTTGTCTCATCCAGGTCTCCCCAGAGGCAGGTGAATCAGGGTGAATATAAACACGAGGGGGTACCGGGGAGTCAGCATTACCAGCCACCATCCACTTGGAGCTATGATAAACATACCTATAAAAAGAAAACAAATACCTGTAACCCCAAATCTCAAAATAATTTAGCAGACCTATTCCGTATTAATAACTTAGGGCCTATTCATACAGCAAGAACCCAGCAATTAATAAAACATGAAAGGACAGTAAGTTTTGGGGATTTTTTTAGTTTCAAGACATAGTTCTGGTATCTGCAAAAGTAAGGCTAAAACCCATGCTCTGATCTGACCTTAGCTTTCTTAGTCAGTAACAGTCTTAACACTATGATCCACACTGAGCTCTAAGCTGGTGTCAGTTCACTTATTGCTACAGCTGTGCTCTGAATAGGCATCAGCAAACAGCAAAGAATCCGGTCCTTCATTTATCAACTAAGAGTAGTAATTCCATTTTTGGGAGATTTAACATGTTGAGTCTAATAGAAGAGTCTATAAATAAAGCTATTGAAGCAAAATAATATTATGATTGAAAAAATAATGAAACTATGTCAAACTATGCTCTTACTGTTTCTGCAAGACCATATTAATTGTCTCAAATAGTACTGCAGAAAGGCTTAAAAATGAAAAAACACAGCCTGTATTTCATTTGCTAGGCCAATGCTGACAAACTCATTTTCTAATAAAAATAGTGCCTGCTTCGGTAGAAAACTTATTTTGAAGGCAGATACTTAACAGGGCAATTTAAAAAGCACTAATTGAAAACTTCAAGGTATTTTTTTCAAGTACAGTAAAATTTCAGTACTTCAGCTATACCTTTTAATAAAAAACAAGACTGACTTTATCAGATCATATGTTCATATAATTCAGTTCCTTATTAGAAAAAGACTAACAACATCATTGGACATGAAAACAAAATGATCCAATACATGCATCACTCTGTACAATTTATATTGACCTGTGAAACTAAGATGTGGAATGGTGGTGAAATTCTCTCCTGGAGACAAATTCACAATCCAAGGTCACACAGTCAACTGATGTAATATTTTTCATTTATTTTATATTTCTGGGTCTATACAAAATACATGCATTCCCTACAAAAGTAAATAATGTCATAGAATACACATAAAATATTTTGAGGTTTAGCCCAACAGCTTAAGCTCCACAATTTAAGCTTCCAAATATTTACAGGTTCCGATTTTGCTCGAAATCTACATGTAATTTTCTTCATTTCCACGCAGTTTTGCTACCCATTATGACAGCTGAAGACCAGGCTCCATGTGACTGCTGTTGTACCTTTCAACTTTAAAGATCTGCAAGTCAGTCTGTGAAGCCACATCAACAGCTGAAGTTACAAAGCTGAAGTTACATTCAGCAGTAAAAAAACCAAAAAATTTTTTAAAAAACAACAGATTGTGCAGCAAAAAGTGAAAATTGGCAACAAGTAAAACACATAAAGCATTACTATTTAGTGGGAAGATTAAAGCTGTGGAACTAATAATGATCAGAGAACTTTAAGTTTGCCACTGAAAAATTACTGCCCTTCATGCAGCTAGTGTTCAGTTACTTCAGTTACCTGGGCACCACGTATCCTACTAAGCAGACAGTGCCGCTCAGCATGACTGTATTTTAAATCTAGTGAGGTTTAAAAAGCTCATATGCAGTATACCTGGTTTTAATTTTTAATGTTAACATTTTTATTCAATTTGGAATAACTATGTTGCTTTTTCTGAGAATTAAGGAATTGCTGGTACCTTCTAGGAATTACGTTTAGATTACTAAGGAAACACACATGTACAGCACAAAGCTACAGAAGGGCTCTCGTTATAGCTGCACTGCACTGTTCTAAAGGAAAAAGTGTTTTTGTCCACAGTGCAGTCAGAGTGCCTCCTTTAACAGTATGTACCAGACATTCTCAGCACTGGTATCTGCACCTTGCCGAAAGCCAGAACATCTAAAATGGTCCTAAGAAATGTCTCATATACCACACAAGAAAAGGACAAAATTGTGGTCAATGAGGTAAGGGTACACAAAAACCATCAAGCAGTGTTCGCTTAGGAAAGAAGGCAGCATTCCTGCAGAGCTAACCTTTAAGTCTTAGGCTGATATATTCCTCGTTCTGCAGTTAAATCCACAGCGGTTTTCCCTACATTATACTAAGTACAGGGTTGAAACAAACAAACCAGCAATTCGTGAGGACCTCATTCTGCCTCCACTGAACTACTTGGCCAGGCTCCTCCTGGCTCCTATGGAGCATGGGACCGCATCCTCAATGCAAGACCTACCAAAAATCCACAACTCATAGTAATAACTACTGCGGGCCCAATCCTGCAAACACTTCTACAGGTCCAGTGGCTGCAGCAGAATTGAAATATGATTGCCCTCGAAACAGTGAGAGTTTCTGCACATAATTCCTGCTCTTAAATGTTTGAAGAACAAATACCTTTGCTCCTCACATTATCCTCCAGATAATAATGCCATTAATTCTTTAAAACACAGTAATTAGAAGCATCTCCCTTTGTGATTCTAAGCAACCAAAATATATGAGTGATAACCAGCTTTAAATTAAATTACATAACCAATTTGAAACATGACCAAGAAAACTTGTATGTCATTAAATCAGACATAATTCCTATTAACGTTACTAATGCTGTTTAGCATTAGATAAATGTATGTTTTCATATTTATTTGTTAACTAGAAATAAGTCCCACTGGTATGATGAGGAATAAAAAATGAAAACATTTCCTGACCGCACCATAACTGTACTCTCTGAAAGCCAAAACCTGAGCATCTGCCCATAGTACACACACAGCAACAGTCAAGCATGTAAAGAGCTGTAAGAGAAATTTTAGTTGGTTTCGCATACTTTGTACAATTTTATTTTTTATTTTAATGCCCTGGGATGAAAATAAGAATCTGAAGGGGAATTAAACATGACTTTTGCTAATTTATATAGTGTTAATGCTGTCTTCCAACAGCCAAGCTCCCTATGGCTTGCATCGTATGGGTTTTGCCTTAAACTCACCGTACCTGTATCTTTTGTTATCCACTGGCACAATATCCATAGCAATGTAATATTGCTGATGTGGGTCTAAACCTGAGATCTTCACTCTCATTGCGGGAAACATCCGCCTGAACATGGAAAGAGAGAGGTCATTTTTAATATGAAACAGACACGGGACTGGTTGTTTAGGAAAAGTAACCGCTTGGTGGGATTTTTCTCGTTCTTCCTTTTAGCCTACAGAGTCCTTTTGGACGATTATAGTTACATGGCCATGAAATGGCCCATTCGATATGTCAAAACAGATTTCTAAAGTGCATTTACTCGAACAATGCTTCGTATGTTTTGGGATACGCTTTGGGAGTACAGCTATTACCACATCATTTCAACTTTATTGTTAGACAGTAAATCACTTGGGTTTGAGACTTGAGTTTAGCAGTATGCTCATTTAAAGCCCGTTTGAGATATTGCTTAAAAATCTATTTCTGGAGATGTGCAAACACCATCTCCACCCAGACAAACCAACAGTTACAGAAATGCAAACAACCACTGAATTTTCAAGGGGCAGCAGCAAGAGGTGTTATCATTTCTAGAGCAGCAAACGAGAAAGCCAAACCCACGGTGATATGATTCTAGCCTCGCAAGGATGCAGTTATAAAAGGCAGCGTGCCATGCTGCAACCCAACAATATGGTCTTTATTGAGACAGGACTTCCTGTCTGCAACTTACTAAAGGTGAAGTGCAAGAGCTACTCTGTCTTTGAAAGGTATAGTAAAACTTCTTTATTGAAAGCAGAAACGAATCTACGGGGTAATTTCTTAAAAGAAAAGGAAAGAAAAAAACAACAACAAACGTTCAAGGTTTATATTTTCTGCAGGGAAAACGGAGGAATTAACTGATGCAGTGGGCTCGACATCAAAATGGGCTTCTTAGCTGACGTTCGGCATGGCTTTTTTCAGGAAAGTAAATTCCTGAAGCCAAAAAAAAAAAATAATCCAAGAAATGTCCTAGTTATTAGCTAACTGCAAGCTAATGAAAGGTATTTCTCTGTATTTTATAAATCTTGAAAACCATTCCAGTTTATTATTTGCTGCTGCTCTAAAAAAAAAATAAAAATAAAAAGAATGTACATATAAATTAAAAGTCGTTACTGGGAAGAAAAACCCCATATCCGTGATTTCTAAACAAAGGGGAGGGGGGGGGGGCAAAGCCGGCTGCGGGTGACTAGTTCTCGCTGTTATTTCAGTGCACCTGTAAGATAAAACAGAAATTCCCCGACTGGACTCTCATAAGACAAATGTTGCTTTGTGCTATTTAAGACTGCGTTTCAATCATTAATAAAGCCTCTCTGAGAATGCAGAGAGTAGCATATGGATTCAATAAAATATGTTTTTGTAATTTCTAATAAGTTCAGATACTTTTATGCTGCCCAGGTTTTTACCATGTGTATCCATTGGGAAGGGGAAAAGTTCCCCCTCAGGAGGACGCCGCGCTCCCAGAGCTCGCCCTAAACGAACATGAAACCAGGAACGCCGAATGCCCCCGGTGCCCGTTTAACATTACCACCTCCTAAATCTGGACGGTGCCCCCGGTTTCTGCCCGCTTCCATGTGCCCGCCCGCCCCGGGAGAGCCCCGGCGGGTGCCCGTTACCTTCCCGCCTTGGTGATGATCATCTCGGTGCCGATCTCGTGGAAGCGCTTCCAGAGCTCGGCGCCCTGCAGGTCCACCCGCGGCGCCTGCGGTGCGGCCAGCGGCGATCCGGGCCTCGAGCCCTTCGGGGAGCCGCCGGGGGAGGCGGGAGGCGAGGCCCCCGGGAAGCCCTCCTCGCAGCCGCCTGCGGAGACAGCGGAGGAAGCGAGAGAGGCAGGGGCAGCGCGGCCCTCCCCACCGGGGGGCTTCCTCAACACCAGCTGTACCCCGCCGACCCGCCACCGCTCCCGGGCAACGGGCTGCGCCGGCCCCGAGCCTGGGCCGCGGCCTTGCGAAGCGGGACTGGGGGCTACCCAAGCTCAGGGCGGCCGCGCCGGGCCAGCCGGGCGGCGAGAGGGACTCCCCGAGGCGGGAGCACAACGTCAAGCAGACCCCAGCTCTCCGCCGGGCAGTGCCGGGCACACCGCCGTCCCGGTCCGTGCCGAAAGCGGCGGCGGCGGGTCGATGGTGTGAGGCCGGCATCGCATTTCGTTGGGGCGCGATTAGTGTGACCGCCGGCGGCCGCGGCCTTCTGCCCCGCCGCTGGAGATGCACCCCCGCCCGTGTGCAGTAAATTACGGACTCACATATACATACATGCACTATACATATATATACACACATAGTTGTACGACGTATACATATATGCATTGTAGAAGCGCTTCTCCCCTTCCTCGGCACCAAGCCCCAGCTGTTGCTCCACCGCGCTGCGGCACAGACCACCCGCCGGCACCCGCCAGCTCCCCCCCCCGGGGCCCCGGGATGCGCCAGCAGTTCAACCGGCAGCGCCGGTGGTGGGAAGGGGGGTGCCCACGCCGTGTGCAGGATAAAGAGAATAGCGGGGAAGCCGGCGTTGAGCCGAGGGAACGGGCCTCCCGCCCGGCAGCCGGACAGGAGGCGGCCGCGGCGGCGGGGAACGGGGTGGCACTCACCGGCGGGGGCGCGGACGGAGCAGCCCAGATCCATGTCGCCGCAGGTCCTGCTGCCGGCAGCAGCCGGGGAGTTCTTGGCGCAGCAGCCGCTGCCCCCTTCGTCCTCCGCCGCCTCGTCCTCGGCGCCCAGCTTCCTCCGCTTCGGCTGCCGCGGCGGCGGTGGTGGTGGCGGCGGCTGCTGCTGCTGCTGCTTCTCGGCCCCGATGAGCGCCTCCACGGAGAAGGCGTGAGCCTTGAGGCTCATGGTGGTGCCGGGCGAGGACCGCCGCTTGTCGGCCATGCCCGCCCCCCTACAGCCCGCGCATCCAGGCGCGCAGCGGTCGCCGGCACCCGCACCCGGCCGCTCGCCCGTCCTCCCGACCGCGCCGGCAAGGGGCTGGGGCTTTTCCTCGCCTTTCTTTTTAAATCCGAGTTATCAGCCAAGTTGTTGTTTTGTTTTGCTTTTTTTTTTTTTTTTGGGGGGGGGGAGAGGTGGGAGAGTCGATTTGGGTTGGGTTTTTTTAGAGGAAAAAAAATCTACTCCTTTCTGCAGATGCGCTCCTTCTCTCCCCCTCCTCCTCCTCCGCGTTCTGCCCCTTCTGATGGGCCAGGCAGGACTGACATGGGTAACAAACGCTCTGCGGACACAAATTAGGGCTTGTAATTGAAATTTGTTGCCTTGATCTGTCAGCACTTCCAGGCAGGAGACCGGTGGGAAGAACTCGCTCATTAGTGTCACTGCGGCGGCGGGGGCCGGGCGGAGCCGCGGGGCGGGGGCTGACGCGGCCCCGCCGCCCGCAGCCCAATCAGCGCCGCCCCGGCCCCGGCGCTCCGGCCCCGGCCCCGCCACCCTACCCGGAGGCCCCCTCCGCTGTTCACGGGCGATCGGGAAGAGGGGGGAGCTCCGCTGTCCCGCGCCAGCCCCGGTCCGAAACGGCCCCGCGCCCCCCGGCAGATGCGCCCCGCAATAAATGTTAATGGGGACACCCCACCTCCCTCGGGGACCGGGCTGGCCGGGAGCCCCAGATCCCTCCAGAACGCAGAGGGAACGGGAAGTCCTCCTGGGGCGCTGCGTTTCAGTCGGGGAAACCGTTCTGACTTTTAAACAAAATGACGTTATGCCCTTCCTTGCTGTTAGGGATCAGTAATTATCAGTTGTGTTTAGCTGTTGCACTCGGAGATTCGTCGTGTTGTCGTTATTCAAGCACCGGCTGCGGAGGGGGTTCAGCCACGCTCATAGCTCCCTCCAAACCCAGCCAATTAGGCGCTGAAGCGGCAATAAAAACAGAATTAAACCGAACCTTGTCTGAACATCGATGCATCCACCCGCAGCAACTTTAATAATAACCATATTCAGGTGCATAGAATAGTTACTGGGAAAATCCTTTCGTATCTTTCCAGTGAATAAAACTATTAAAGAGCTGGAGCCAGATATTCTTTTCTTTGCATGCCCAGAGAAATTAAAAAGCTATTGAGATTTTTGTTGTGTTTTCTTCTTTTTTCATTTTTCTTTTGTTGCATTATATACTTCCCCCTCAACCCACTCCCCTTTTTTTTTTTCGCAGAACTAAATGGGGTGACATGCTCTGGTGAAGGAAACAATAGAAATCCTCCTTCTGCAAAAAAAGTCATGAGGCAATTTTCACGGTTTCGGGAAATGGGATCTCTTCTCTGTTTAGGGTAACAGACATGAGAGAAATTGGTGGTGTGCTCCGTCTGTGTTACAGCTTCGGAGGTCCCTGTCTAGTGGCACAGCTGAGATTTCTGATCGTAATCTGAAGAGGAAATAGCTGCCATTTAGGAAACGTAACGGTTTCCACTGGCGCAATTTACCTATCTCTAAAATGCAAATATATCCTATTTTCAATAGCTGCTTCGTCAGAGAGCCTGAGAAAGGGACTGATTAATAAATACACCCTAGAGGTAAATTATTGCTGCAGATAAGGTTATCGGGGTTAAAACTTAGATGTGGTTTCCAGGCGTAATATATAGGTATGTCACAAAGAGATAACTGATGGAAGAGGAGAGAAACACCCCCCCCCCCAAAAAAAAAAAAGAAAATAGAAAGAAAAAAAATTAAAAAAAAAAAAAAAGCGCACCCTCCGGAGGAGCACTAACTCTCTCCACATTGGAAGAGATGGCAATTTGTCTGAGAAAAATTCGTCACTACGAAAATCTTCCCCTGCAGTGGCTGTCGTTCTGAATCGATAGGAGAGCAGAAAATGCCTGATGCCTGTCACCGACGAACACTGCTGTGGAGCCAGTTTATCTTTACATTAAATCTGGGACATATTAACTGTTCCGTGGTCTGAAGTCTGTCTGCCCTGCCTGTTCCAGCCGTGATTGAACCTGAAGGAAATCAGATGTGCGCGAGTGATCGAAACGTGCTAAGCTAGAGGATCGTGCAGGAGTTTAAACGCCGCCGCGGTGGGGATGAGATCGATAGGGAGAGGAAGAGAGGAAGGAAGGAAGGAAGGAAATGGATGGTATCTGTCCGAGGGCGCTCCGGCAGCCTCGCCGCCCTCCCATCTCCGACGGCAACTTCCGCGGCCGCGCTCCCGCCGCCCTCGGCCGCCGGGCCACCCGCGCCACCGCCACCGGTGCGACGGCTCCGGCGGTGCCCGCGGGAGCAGGTACCGACCCCCGCCATGTCGGCCCGGGGGGGCGCGGAGGAACGCGGGGGGAGGCGGAGGAGGGGGCGCTCCACTGACGCCGCGGGGGGCGCGGGAGCTCTAGGCCGAGGCTGCGCTGCCGGCGGAGCGGGATCGGCCCCGGGCGGCTGCCTGGACCAGTCGGGGAGGGCGACCTGCTCCCCGCAGCCGCCGGGCCCTCTGCGGGGCAGCACAGCTTGCCGCTCCAGTGGTGACGGGGCCGGAGCGTCGGGGTCCCGGAGAAGCCTCTGGGCACAGGGCTGCCCGTCCTGCCCAGTTTTTATCCCTTTCCCTCCTCCTACAGCCGACCGCAGCTCTTTCCCGCGGAGGAGACGCTGACCCCTTGCTCCGCACCGCTCCGCGGGGTGCGCAGCAGGTCCGTCCTACGGATGGACAAATGGCCCGGATGATTTCTGCTGCTGGAGGGTGGGTGCTTGTTGTTGTTGTTGAATTATTCCCCCCTTGCCAGATTTCTGTAGGTTGATATGTGGCATGTTGTTTTCATTTCTTGACTTTTTGAAACAACTGCGTGGATTTAAATTTATCGAACAACCTGTGATCCATATGTCTGTCCGATTAATTTTTTATGGGATGATGAAAGAGAGAAGAATCTCTATATATAGTGATCTGCTAATGGAATAATATATATATCCGAAACACCTTTCTGGAGTTACTTGTATTTCCGGACTTTAAAATGCAGTCTGGGTTTTTAGGCAGTTGAGCAAGGCACATATTTAGACTTCCTCGGGGTAAAAAAAAAACAAACAATGTTTAAACCGTTTTCCACCAGAAAGACATTTTCCTGCGCTCCCGTCGCAAATCTCGAGTGACAATTATGGCATGGTTATGGCCGTGCTTCTCATTCACAGTATGATTTCTGATAATCTTTTTCAATATTAGAGCCGGGTACCATCAGAGAGTAAAATATCCACAGCGTCCTTTTCAAAGACACGGTTTTCTGTAACTTCCCAGCAGGGAACCCTAGAAGCTGTCAGTAGGGAAAACATATTTATATCATTATCCGCTTCACCCCCCTCAACCCTCACAGTGAGCCTGATCGCTTCACCCTAAGGATGCGTGGGGTGCACAAGAAGGCAGCAGGTAGCTGACGGAGACTAGTCAATGATATATTATCAACGGGAGCAAAATTACAGATGCCGGTGAACAAACCGCATGTAAACCCTGTTTCTGTGCATCCCGAGTGCACCTACGCCGCTGCCTCTCTTCCTTGCTCTCTGTGGTTGCGGCTGAGCGGGAGGACCGAGGGTGCTGGCAGTAACTTGGTACTTCCAACTATCCTATAGCAGGGTGCACAGCAAGCCTGGAGCGACTCTCCCCGAGACACAGATCACATTCAAAACATGCTCGAGAGAAGGTTAAGCGTGGCTTAAATTTAAAAGAAGCAGGGAAGCCTCTCTCAGCCCCCATGGCCACGGCAGGGTATTACAGCCCGCCTGTCCCGCTCTGCTGGGGCTCCTCCAGCCAGGCTTCTCTCGCCGATTCCAGGCGGGCTTCAGCCTGGTGGAGGAAGTGGCATCAGGCAGGAACAGCTCTCCAGAGCCGCGGCGGGGATCTCCTGCGTTTTCCCACGAAAGGGCCGGTTCTTGCCCGTGTGTTTCGCCCTCCGCAGGCGCGTAACGAACGCAACTCACAGAGAGGGACGCAGGCGGCCCCGGCTCACCCCGCTCCTGGCCCAGGCCCTCGGAGCCCTAGCGACCCTGGTCTCGGCCCCCGGCACTCATCCCGTGAAACCGCCCGACGAGCTCAGCTCTGTCGCCGGGCTGGGACTGGAGGGAGCGGGGCCGGTTTCCCAGACACCTGAGACTGATTCCCCAGGTTCGAACTCTGCGGGCTGCTCCCAAAAGTAAGGGGCCGGCAGAGCCGACCCGGACTCAGCCTCCAGGATCGGAGTGCGTACAGCATCCTGCTCGGTGCTCCTAGATCAAGACCCGAGAAAACGGAACGGGCCGGGGAAGTGAGGGTAGCCCCTCACCGATCACAGCGCCGTTTGTCGGTGACCAGTTAACCCAGACCGCTGTAGCTATCGCGGGTTTCCCCGAAGCCAAACCCAACCTGCCAGGAGCACGGCCACTGGGGCGCGACGGCGGCCCTCAAACAGCCGCCGTGAATCGAGTTAGTCGATGCGGTGTGCCACGTTTTGATTCCCCTTCAGCAGTCCACAGGGTGACCACGCACCGAGGAGGTAAAGGGGTCGGGGCCTGTCCGACCCGTCCTCCGACGGGGCGCACGATCCGCCGACAACCGCGCATCGCATCATCCCCTGCGCGGCGGCTCCCGACTTTTCCCCGCGCACTGCACAGAGACCCTCGGCCTGGCAGTCTGCGCCGGCCGGTGCCTCCGCAGCCTCAGGTCTCGTTTTAAAACTAGGGAAAAAAACATATTCGCTGCCCGTATACTGCTGCGGAGTATAAATAAGATCAACGTACAGAAATAAATGCGCAGCCAAGCGACCGGCTTTCCAGACGGGTCAAAATGCTGGGGAATCGCATTAAAGAACTGAAAACACAGTTTAAAGGCACCCGTGTGAAAATTATAAGTATACAGGCGACTGCGTTTTATAACGCTTAACTTACTACCTTAATTTGGAAATACGTGGCCACGAGTTAAGACTAATTTTTAAGGAAATCTCCAGACTTTAATGAGATGCTCCCACTTACATTTATTGTTCGTTTCAGACAAACGATTTTTTAAAATAGCCTTTTCATTACTCCGGTCACAAAATAAACGTTTGCAAACACTACATGAGGGTTGAAGAAACCTCTGGCTTTACTTTTTTTATTGCTTTCCTATAAATTTAAGTCGCATTTTCACTATTGTCTCAGGAAA